ATAATGTCTTGATTTCTCATACAGTCATTAGCTTCCATTTGCTCCATTCTAATTTTTAAGGAATTATTTTCTTCAGTGAGTTTTTGGACCTTCTTTTCCATTCGGCCAATTCTGCTTTTTAAGGCATTCTTCTCCTCATTGGCTTTTTGGACTTCTTTCGCCATTTGGTCTAGTCTTTTTTTTTTTCCCTTAGGCAGTTGGTGTTAAGTGACTTGCCCAAGGTCACACAGCTGGTAAGTGTCAAGTGTTTGGTCTGAGGCTGGATTTGAACTCAGGTCCTCCCGACTTCAGGGCCAGTGCTCTATCCACTGGCCACCTAGCTGCTCCTCTAGTCTATTTTTTAAGGTGTTATTTTCTTCAGTATTTTTTGGGGTCTCCTTTAGCAAGCTGTTGACTCGTTTTTCATTATTTTCTTGCATCACTCATTTCTCTTCCCAATTTTTTCTCTACTTCTCTTACTTGCTTCTCAAAATCCTTTTGGAGCTCTTCCATGGCCTGAGACCAATTCATATTTTTCTTGGAGGCTTTGGATGTAGGAGCTTTGATTTTGTTGTGTTCTTCTGAGTGTATGCTTTGATCTTCCTTGTCAACAAAGTAAGTTTCTATAGTCTGAGTTTTTTTCCATTGTTTGTTCATCTCCCCAGCCAATTACTTGACTTTTTAACTCTTTGTTAAGGCAGGGCTCTGCTTCCAATGTGGAGAGCGTACTGTCCTAAGTTTCAAGGGTTTTGTGCAGTTGTTTTCAGAGATACTTCTAGGGACCTCTAAGTTTTTAGTTCTGGGTGGTATGATCTAAAGAGAGGTGTTTACTCCTCTCTTGGCCTGTGCTCTGGTCTGTGAGTGACCACAAGCACTCTTTTCTGCCCTGAAACTGTGAGAGGGTTCCCTCTCCAATGCTGCCACAAGCTCTGCTATGCCGGTGCTCCTTACCCCAAGACTGCAACCCAGATCCAGGTATGGGCCAAGCAACAGAATCCTGCCTCAGTGCCAGCAGAGAGACCCCTTCTGTAATCTCCTTCTGATCAGTTGTTCAATCCCTTTGCTGTCTGTGAGCTGAGAGCTCTGGAAGCAGCCATCGCTGCTGCCATTGCCCCAAGGCTGTGCTGGGACAAGCGCAAGATTGTGCTCCTCTCTCACCAAGGTCCAAAAGACCTTTCTTACTTACCCTCTAAGTTATCTTTGATGCTTGTGGGTTGAAAAGTCTGGAAACTGCCACAGCGGCCAGTGATTCAGTCCCCTGAGGCCTGGTCTGGGCCCAGTGGAGCCTTGTCTGTGCCTTCGTGGCCTGTGCTGGACTGTACTCCACTCCTTTCCCAGCCTGGTGCAAAAGATCTTTCCTGTCAGGCGTCCAAGTTGTCTCGGGCTGGTAATTTGTTTTACTGTCTTTTTATGGGTTCTGCTGCTCTAGAATTTGTTTACAGTAATTTTTTACAGGTATTTGGAGGAGTTTGGGGGAAAGCTCAATTGAGTCCCTGCCTTTACTCTACTATTTTGGCTCTGCCCCTCATTTTTCCTTCTTTCAAAGCCTTTATCACCTCTCTTTGTCCCCATCTTTACATAGAAAAACAAGGTAGACAGAAGCATGATCTGTAACTGACCTGCTCTCATTTCACTTAATGTATAACTTTAAGTTCCCTCAAGTGACTGGGTTTCTTTTCAATGCTCTTTAACCTGCCACTTTAACTGGGTCATGACTTATTTCTAGGTCTATTAGAAGCCCAAATTCTTAAGCTAAGATTGTATAGTCTAGTAGTGCTACTTTGTTCTAACAGCTCCAAGTCCTCAGATCAGCTCCTGCTGACTAATTTTGTCTCCCTAGAATGAGGAACGCACTCTCTGAATGTGCTTTCTTACCTGTCCCCATTTGTAAGGTTTAAATAATATATATACACAGTTTGGCATCCGTGGAGGTCAACAGTTTTATAGTAAAGAAATAAATTTAAATTGAAAGTGAGAGATATTGGACAAGCTTGCACAACCAACTAACAGAAGAGAAAAGTGGTTTTGTTAGGAAGAGTCCCCAGTCAGGCTAAGTGAGTGTCTGTGGCAGAATAAGAATTGTATTACATGCTAATATATCACTATGCTAATAATTACATTACCAAGACTCAGGTCTTAGGCACTTTTTATATAATCTGACATTTGATATGTGAGCCTAGTGCCCTCATGCTACCCCTGAGAAGTGGTAGAGTGAACTGAACAATGCACAGGGGCCTCGAGACTTGGGTTCCAGCTCTGCCACTTCTTGGTGGTCTCAGTTTCCTCATCTGTAAATTGTGGAGACTAGAATAAATGATCTCTAAGGACCCTTCAATTCTTACATTTTATATTTTGAGTCTTTCAGTTCTGTCCTGTTTTGGAAAAGGCTTGGTGGAGAAATAGAACAGAAATATCTTAAAGATCTGGTTATACTCTAATATGAGGAGGAATAGGATTACACTGGTTTGTGACCTCAGGGGACAGAACTTGGGGCAATAAGTGGAAGTTTCTGGAGGCAGATTTTTGTTTTATTTAAGTGCAATAACCCACAGGCCCAACGGGCTGAGGTGGCCTGTCCTATGACAGTGCCCTAGCTCTGGACTCATGTAAAATGGTTTTAGTACTAGGGGAGTCTGACCTCTAAAAAGAAGTGCCAGACTCTCTCGTGGTCTCTAGTTCTTTAAACCCCCAACCCAGGAGCTCTCATGTCTAGGGTCTTCCCAAAAGGGATTATGAGAATCCTTTATAGAAAGGTACTCAGTGTATCAAGTATAGGACAACTATTTCCCCCACATGTAAAGAAATGTTTGAAATGGGAGTAAAGACTTAAAAAAAAATGAAATGGAAACCCATATCTTTTAGTAATACTGTCCTGGGAGGTTAATACTCAAACATTAAAACATGAAACATTTATGGGACTACTGAACCGCCATTTCACTTTCACCTCTGTTCTGCACTGTCCAAAAAAACTTCAAGGCCTGTTATCTTTTGGTAAGCCAGGGCAAGGCTTGGGTTCATCTTCCTTCTGGTGGTCATCATCTTCTTTGAAACATGTTTTAGAAGATCCAGGGAACACCTCTTAATGCCAGTCATCTAACCTTTTCAATGACTCCAAACCTCGGGTCAGTGAGGCAGCTGTAAACATCGATCTGAGGACCACTGTGTGGTCGGTCATGCTTAGGAAAAGAAACAAAAATTAGAAAATGCAGATTAAGCTTTAAACTATAGTCTCAGGCTCAACTAGACAAGCATATGCTCTCATTGCCGTTTGTGAGCAGCCATCGGAGCTGCCTAGGAAGCGGCAGTGGGGAGAGAGAGGAATTCTTTCACAGGATGCTCATTCAGCCAAGAGAGCTGTCCAAGACCCATATCACATATTCAGAAGAGTAGGAAAAGTTACCCCTTTAAGGTCTACCAAGTGGGCAACTCTTGTTGCTAGGTGGCCAATCCTCTTTGAAACAATATTCTGTCATGAGGGCAGGGGAAGGCAAATAGGGATCAATCATAAGCCTTTGATTTTGAATATCCTTTAGTGAGTGATCTTTACTCCCCAGAAGGGGTCAAGAGGCATGTTGAGAGCTCCTAAAAACATATTCAAGATTATCAGATTATGGTGGGGGTATGTCTCCCAATTGTCCCAATCACATCAGGAAGAACTTCCTATAATCAGAGCTGATCAAAGTGGAATGGGCTGCTGGGGAAGGAGTGAGATCCTAATTACTGAAGTTCAGGTGGAGGCAGGATGAATATCAGGGGCAGGGTGGCGGGGAATGTTATCAAGAGTACTCTTATGGGAGCAGCTAAGTGGCGCAGTGGACAGAGTACTCTTTTTGTTTTGTTTTGTTTAGGCAATTGGGGTTAAGTGACTTGCCCAGGGTCACACAGCTAGTAAGTGTCAAGTGTTTGGTCTGAGGCCGAATCTGAACTCCGTTCCTCCTGACTTCGGGGCCGGTACTCTACCCACTGAGCCACCTAGCTGCCCAAGAGTACTCTTATTCAGGCAGAGATTTACATGGACGACCTCTCAGGCCTCTGCCAGCTTAGATTCCATGATTCTAAGCTTAGTTCTACCTACTTCTTCCAGTCTTAGCACTTTATACAAGCAGTAGAAGGCACAGGTGCGAATTAGCTAGAAGACGTACGCAGACAAGAGGAAAGCTGGCTTCATTGAAATGTTATGTCCAAGAGGAATTAGACATGCTTTACCTGACCTTGGAAGACAGAACTAGGAGCAATGAGTGGAGACTGCAGAGGCAGAGGCAGATTTAGGTTGAACTCAAGGACTACCTTTCCAATAGTCAGAGTCTTACAAAAGTGGGAGCAGCAGCCATAGGAGAGGGTATAATTCCTGTTCCCCGGAGTCCTTCAGGCTGACTGGTTAGGGACATTACAGAAGAGCTTCCTGTTCTGGTAGGAGCTGAACTGGCCAAAACTCCAGTCCTTGTAAGTCATAATTGAGGAATAGGGGTCTACAGGACCTCAGCCTATGCTGTCAACATCAACCTGTTCTTATTCTCAAAGCAACCTACTGATTCAAATGTGCTTCAAGAAACTTATGCTCTACCATCTTGAAGCTGCTTTATCTACAAAGACCGTCTTGCTTTTCAACTCATACAGACTGCTCAGAAGCACAGAAAAGTGAGTAAGATACTAATTTTGTTCTCAAGGAGTTTCCATTCTTCCATCCTTCTATCCTAGCTGAGCTCTTCCAGGGTCAGACACCCACAAACAAATGACTTTCTAAAGATCACACATCAAGTCAGAAAACAAGCTGGAAAAACACAGGAGTTCTGACTTCCAAAACATGGTACCTAAGTTGCATTTAAAGCTAAGCAGAGGGGCAGCTAGGAGGCGCAGTGGATGGAGTACTGGCCCTGAAGTCAGGAGGACCTGAGTTCAAATCCAGCCTCAGACCAAACACTTGACACTTACTAGCTGTGTGACCCTGGGCAAGTCACTTAACCCCAACTGCCCAAATGAAAAAAAAAAGCTAAGTAGAAAAAATAAATACAGATGCAGAGTGAAGAATACATTGTATGTTTATTATTCACAGTTAATTACTATCTACCAAATGCTGTTGCAGAGTTAAAGGATTAAGTACATAGGTCTTTTTATTTAAACACTGATTTTTTTTTTTCATATACACAAAACAGTTCAGCAAGGCTTCGTGATATACACCAATTCCAAAATAAACAATCAAATGGTCCAGGTGTCGAATGCCATAGTTTCCTTTTATCATTACTGATGGAAGAAGAAGTAGAACCAAATAGCAAGAAGAGGAACACAAGGAATGCTCAGCTTGGAGAGTTGCTTACCTCTTGGTGAATCAGAATGTCAAAGGCAGCATCCATCTCTACAAGTGCCCAAAGAAAGTTTCAGAAAAACCAAAAAGACACTCAAGGGAAAAAATGAAGGGGGTTCCATTTGTTTATTTTAAGGGGATGGGGCATAAAAATAATACAGTCGCTGGAAAAACAATAAAGTAACCAAAGCTTAGCACTAAGGGCATTGCTGTTAAACTAGTCTCCCTTCAGTTAAAAATCATTTCCCTCAAATACTCTTTCTGCTTCAGAAGTTTTATAGGGGCAGTCGGGTGGGACAGGACGGACTAGCCATAAACAGCCCGCTGTTAAGTAGGAAGTGAAGATACTAGTCCCTTGCTTCTTGAATGCTCAATTAAGCAGGTCAGGACACACACACACACACACGCACACACACACACACACACACACACACACACACGTCAAAGTTCCAAGAAGATATCCCTATTTTTAAGAGCAAGACAATATAAATAGTTACATTCCTACACCAGTGTAGGAATACAGGATTATGTTTTAAGATTCAAGAACAATAGTTTAAATTTCTCTTTTGGTTTTCTTGTAGTTGGACATTTTCTGGCCATAGGGAGGTACATGTGAGAATTACTGTCTCCCACCAGTCAAGAGGGAACCAGAGATCACCTGAGACCTTCAACTTTCTTTTTACCAGACTGAATTAAATACAGGAAGGGCTACACCTCTTCCCTGCTTCCATGGGGTGTCTACCATACTGCACTGCTGTTGGCAGCATCTATGGGTCCTGCATGCATTACCTCTGGAAATTATGTACTTGCTCACCAATATTAAAGCTTAATCCTTAAAGACTTCTGGCTTCAAAGAGACAAATAAGAACTTAGAACTTCTCCCTGTTTGACTCCCGGTTTCCCTCCCTGACAAATATAAAATTATACATATAAAGAGAAAAATTGGCTGAAAAGCTCTGGACTGTCTTTAACTTAAAAATTACAACCAAAAAAAACCCTGAAAACAATGGAAAAGGCACTATAAAAATGTTCAACAACACACCACTTAGAAGAGAACATGGTGGAAAAAAACAAAAACAAAAACCCAAGCTTCTGCTATGTAGAATTTTGCAAGATGGCCCACGTACTGGCAAAATATCTATTCACTCTACTTTGCTCCCAAAATGACAAATACAAGGTTTACCCAAACCCACAAATACTTTCTCAGAGCAAAAAGATCTGAATTCTGAACATGTCAGGAGTCCTCTCTTTTCAGTTGCACATTCTACCTAAAACAGACATTCTGCATAGAGAAAATACCAGTCCACATGGTTTCTTATCTTTTATTATCTGCATCAGTTAAGATTAGGTGTGTCATTTAATGTCATGCACTGATGGACAGAAGAGAAAGAATGGGGGAAAAGGGGATAAAGGAGGGGAAACAGGAACACCTGCGAAAATCTGTAATAAAAATGATCTTTTCTTAATTTAAAGGTAAGTTTTGGCATTTTATATCCAACTCCCTTTCCCGCCCCTCCCTCACCAAAGTTCCATCCAGAGTGAGAGAGGGTCACCCTATGGTGACTTAGGTGTTATGGCCAGATGCTCAGAGCTCCCTCACTGGCTGCTGTTAGATGCAGCATGTGGATTTTACTTTTGTATGTGTGTATGTTTAAAAAATTTCATGTTTCCTTAAATAATTTCTTATTGATTCTTAGATGTTCCGGTTCACTGGGGTGACGTAGTTACGTGGAAACATGCCGGTCTGCCCATGGCAGGCTCCTTTCCACCAGTTGGGGTCTGAGTTATCAAGGACCTGTATGAAATCTCCCCGACGGAAGCCCAGCTCTCCATCTTCTTGGGGGTCAAAGTCAAAGAGGGCCTGGACATATGTTGGTTGCTGAAAAGGAAATAAAGAATTAGGTTGTTCACTTGCTACACTGTTGAGAAATCTAAAATGTATGTGACAAATAGTCTTGGTTTATAATCTTTCAAATATGTGCCATAGGGAAAAAAAATAGTCTACAGTGTGTAAATGGCTAGATGCAGCCTATTACATCATTTGAGATAAACAGTTCAGATAAATGCTCTATTGATAACAGATCACAACATCATCTCAGGCTAGTTACATCCTACATAATGTTGTCCTAACATAATTTCATGATAATAACATTCTAACCAAACCCCACTGTATATTCAGCAAAATTCCTGATTTAACAACGTCCAAATGACTGTCTAAGAGGCAAATTCAAATTCATTCCTGTATCCCACAACTGTTTCACTTAATGCCATCTTTTTACAGAATCAATGAATAACATGAGGTGGAATATACCTATTTGCTGAGAACAGCAAAACCTAGTCTTCGCAAAAAGGATGGAAAACAGCAGTTGAGACATTGCTTAAACCAAAGGTTTTGAAGATGTTTTACTTTTACTGACAGAAAGGTGGGTAATAGTGTTAAGTGGAACAATATACCATTAAGAAGGTTCAATATACCATTACTACAGTACTAAGTCTGAGCAAGAATGAAGAGTTAGATTAGGGGACTGAAGGAAGCTACTGTCCCTTCCCTCTTATCCCTCAAAAGCTCTTTTCTTCTGTGCTTGCAGCAGGGGGACGTTTGGTAGCAGCACACAGAAAACTTTACTTTACTCGCTTTATTCTTTTTTGACGTAGGAGGAAGGAAAAGACCAGACCTGTGATTCCACTGGTGGAGGGAACTCTCTATCAAGGAAGATCAGCAACTGCTCTGCAACTTAGACTCAAAGAGAGGTGATAGGTCACTCAGAGATTCAGTGACTTGCTCAGGCTGACAATTCCAGAATGTGTCATAAGTAGAACATGAAGCAGCGTCCTCCTGACTCTGAGGCTAGCACCTATACCAATATTCTTTTTAAAAAAATTTTATCTTCAGTTCCAAATTCTCTGCCTTCCTCTCTCCCTCCCCCTATTGAAAGTGAAAAAAACAAGACCCATCACAAATACCTACAATCATACAAAACAAACTTCTGCATTAGCCATGGTTTAAAAAAAAAAAGCAAGAAAAAGAGAGAAAGAGAAAAGAATATGCTTTAGTCTATACTCTGAATCCATCAGTTCTCTTTGGAGGTGGATAGCAAATTTCATTATGAATCCTTTGGAACAGAGATGGATCATCATATTGATCAGTTACTCAATCTTTTTTTGTTTTTGTTTTCAGGCAATTGGGGTTAAGTGACTTGCCCAGGGTCACACAGCTAGTAAGTGTCAAGTGTTTGGTCTGAGGCCAGATTTGAGCTCACGTCCTCCTGACTTCAGGGCTGGTGCTCTATCCACTGTGCCACCTAGCTGCCCCCCAAAGTTACTCAATCTTTCACAGAGGATTGTCATTATAATATTGCTGTTACAATGTACACTGTTCCCCTGGTTCTGCTCATTTCACTTTATATCAGTTCATTTAAGTCTTCCTAAGTTTTTCTGAAACCAACCTGCTCATCATTTCTTATAGCACAATATAGCTTATTCCACCATTTCCTAACTGATGAGCACCTCATCAGTTCCCAATTCTTTGCCACCACAAAAAGAACTACTGTAATTACTTTTTGTACATATAAGTCCTTTTCCTCTTTCTTTTATCTTCTTGTGATATAAACCTAGTCATGGCATTGCTGGTCCAAAGGGCATGCACAGTTTTATAGCACAGTTCCTTCGGGCATAGTTTCAAATTGTTCTCTAGAATAGTTTGGACTAGTTCACAGCCCCACCAACAGTGCATTATTGTATCTGTTTTCCCACAGCCCTTCTAGCATTTGTCATTTTTCTTTTCTGTGATCTTAGCTAATCTGATGAGTATAAGGTGGCACCACAAAGTTGTTTTAATTCTCATTTCCCTAATTATTAAAGATTTAGAACATTTCAAAAAATATGATTATCAATAGCTTTGATTTTGTCCTCTGAAAACTACTCATTCATAACCTTTGATGAGTTGGGGAATGGCTCTTATTCTTATAAATTTGGTTCAGTTCCTTATATATTTTAAAAATGAGACCTCTGCCAGAGAAACTTGCTGCACAGGTTCTCCCCCTCCTCCCAGTCTCACATTTTTCTTCTCAGTTTAGCTGCACTGCTGTTTATTTATGCCAAAACTTTTCAATTTTATGTAATCAAAATTCGCCATTTTACCTCTTGGGAACCTCTATCTTGTTTAGTCACCAACTCTTCCTCTATCCATAAATCTGATAGGTAATTTCTTCCATGATCCACTAATTTGCTTATGAGATCACCTTTTATGTCTAAATCATGAGCCCATTCTGAGTTTACCTTGGTTTATGGTGTGAGATATTAGTTAGTAGTTAGTAGTCTAGTTTCTGCTAGACTACTTTCCAGCTTTCTCAATTTTTGTCAAATACTGAGTTCTTACCTCAAGGGCTAGGATCTTTGGGTTTATTAAACACCATTTACAACTGTTTATTATGTATCTTATCTGCTCTGACCAACCACTCTATTTCTTATTCAGTACCAAACTATTCTGATAATTACAGCTTTGTAGTACACTTCGAGATCTAGAATTGCTTGGCCTCCATCCTTCATATATTTTTCACTGATTCCCTTGATAATTTTGGTGTCTTGTAACTCCAGATGAATTCTGTTGTCATATTTTCTAACTCAATAAAGTAATTCTTTGGTTATCTAGTTGGAATGGTACTGCATAAGTAAATTAATTTAGGTAGTATTGCCATTTTTATTATGTTGATGTTCAACCTACCCATGAGCAATTACTATTTTTCCAGGTATTTAGAATTGTTTTTATTTGTGGAAAGAGTGTTTTGTATTTGTGCGTATGTATACACACACATGTATTTATATGTATATATTAATATTCCTATGTGTATCTTGGCAGGCAGACTCCGAAGTATTTTATACAATCTAATGTTATTTTAAATGGAACTTCTCTTTCTACTTCTTTTTGAAAGATTTTATTGGTAATATACAGAAAAACTGATGATTTGTATGGCTTTATTTTATATCCTGCCACTTTGCTGGAGTTTTTCATTGTTTTGATTAGTTTTTTTTTAAAAGAGGGTTCTCTAAACCATCATATCATCTGCAAAAAAGCAACAGTTTTGTTTGTTCTTTGCCTATGCTTATTCCTTCAATTTGTTTTTCTGGCATTATTGCTACAGCTAGCATTTCTAGTATGATACCCAATAGTATTAGAGATAACGGACATCCTTGCTTCAGCCTTGATCTTACTGGAAAGGCTTCTAGCTTATCCCTACTATAGATACTTCTTGATCCTGGTTTTAGATAGGACTATCATTTAAAGGAAAATTCCATTTATTCCTGTGCTTTCTAGCGTGATTAAGAGGAATGGGTGTTGTATTTTGTCAAAAGCTTTTTTTGCAGCAATTGAAATAATAATATGATTTTTGTTGTGTTTTTTTGTCGTTGTTATTAATACTGTCAATTATACTTATAGTTTCCACATATCAAAACAGCCCACATTCCTGGTATAGATCCAGTCTGGTCATAATGTATACTTTTTTATATTGTTTTAATCTCTTTGTTAGTATTTTATTTAGAATTATTATTATTATTTTTTGCTTTTTGGTGAGGCAATCAGGGTTAAGTGACTTGCCCAGGGTCACACAGCTAGTAAGTGTCAAGGGTCTGAGGCTGGATTTGAACTCAGATCCTCCTGACTCCAAGGCTGGAGCTCTATTCACTGTGCCACCTAGCTGCCCCTTATTTAGAATTTTTTGCATCAATATTCATTAGGGAAAATTGTCTATAGTTTTATTTCTCTAGGTCGACTTTCCCTGGTTTAGGTATCAAGATCATATTTGTGTCATAGAAGCAATATGGTGGGACTCCTTTACCAATTTTTTCATTTATTATGTAGTTTTGGAATTAATTGTTCTTTAAATGTTTGGTAGAATTCACTTGTAAATCTATCTGGTCCTGGGGTTTTTTTCTTAGAGAGTTTAATTTCACCCCACCCTCCTCCCTGGAGATAGAGTTAATTTAAGTAATCAATTTTTTGTTCTCTGTGATTTCATCTTTTTCATTTTAGACACTAGTAACTTGGTTTTCTTTCTTTCTTTCTTTTTAAATTAACTTAGACAATGGTTTAATTTATTTTATTAATTTAAAAAACAGCTCCTAGTTTTATTAAAAAAATTTTTTTAACTTTTGATTTTGCTAATCTCTCATTTGGTTTTCAGGATTTTAATTCTGGTGTTTAATTGTTGGCTTTAAATTTGTTTTTTTCTAGTTTTTTTTCAGTTGCATACCCAATGCATTGCCCAATGCATTGACCTGCTCTTTTACTCTTTTATTGATGTGTTTAGAGATACACATTTTCCTCTAAGTACTGTTTTGGCTGTACACTATTATTTTTAAGACACACTATTATTTTTAAGATAAAATGCAAAGACAGGTTTCCATGGAGGAAGCATATGAAAAGAAAAGGAAAATTTTCCAGTGACATGCCTAATTTACAATTTTTAAAAATGCTAAATTTTTGTTTTATTTCACACACATTTTCAAAGTAGCACAAGAATAATAAAGATGAATGTTGAGCCAACACCAAAAAGACTTTTTCTCCTATGCTAATTTGCTGAGAAGCAAGTCTTGGTGTATTAAATAGTACTGATACTTTTCTTCTTATGTACTTACCTGTGGCACCTGTTCTATGTCCCGCAAGAATATCTGCTGGTTTCTGGAAACCGAGGTGGATCTGTGATAATCTACCAGCTCATTTAAAGAATTGAACTTTACCACCCAAAGGAAATACTTTCCAGCCCCATCTCGGAGCACCTTGAAATGCTGCACATCATTTCCAAACCTGGGGAAGACCAGAGGATATATATTAGGTAGTCAAAGAATTCCTTCTCCAAGTTTGCTTAGAACATCTCTTACTACAAAAGACAGTTTAATAGGAAAGAAAGCCAATAATCTGCCAACCTTTCTCCCAGATTAAGGTATCACATACTTATACTGTGGCTCAAAGAACAGGGGACGGAACAATAAGATGCCTGTGTTAGGAAGAACACAGGCATTCAACTGTATTAGTTGCCAATTAACGTTAATGGTTAACATACATGGATCAGATCTATAACCAGAGGTCTCCAGTCCCTCCTGATTAGCATATCTCTTAGGTATAGACATACATAAAGAATTCTTGTCAAATACAAGGAAACTAGTAATCCTGTTACCACTGTAGTGAACACATTTGTCTACAGTGTCATAGTGCTGCTATAAGTAGCCATGACATTACAACAAAGGTATCAGACAAAGAATAAGAATATAGATTTCAAATCTACTAGGCAAATGGGGGAAATACCAATCTCTTATCAAATCAAATAGAACTTCATTTAGTGATGAACAAATATGAGTTAAATGAAAAGCAGAGTAATTGCAGTGCTTTAGAATGGCTAATACTCTACATAATTTACAGCTCATTTCTAGTGGTTTCTAATTCTCCTTTCCACTGAGATCAAATGAACTCTAGGGAAAATGGAAAGAAAAAGTAGATTCAGGTACCATAGAAATTAAGTCCCACTATAATTCAAAATTAGTCGCACATATCCCTTGATATACAGTTTAGATTCAGTTGGCAAAGGCAGAACACCCCCAATTACGAAGGTGCTGCCTCCTAATAAAAGCCAAAAGGATATAAATATCTTTCCCTTTAATATTATCTCCATAGCTACTTTTCCCTCAGTTTTCCATAAAAATGACCCATCAGGTGGCAGCACTGAGTTGCCAAAAGAACTATCAGAGCATATAAAAAAAATTTTGTTTTATACATCAATTAACCTGGCCACCAAAAGAATACATGGAGAACAAGGAAAGAATGAGTTCATTCAGTCCCTTTTCTACACCTTCAACAAAAACTGCCACCAAATAGGCAGGAATATACGCTCATAGTGAGACTAAAGATGATACACTGAAGACCATACAAGTAATTGGAATCTTAAATGCAATTAGTGACATCAGACATCATTCAGCCCACCCTCTCCCTTCTGCTTCTCGTCCTCCATTTTAGAGAGGAGGAAATTGAGATTTTTGAATCACCCAGAATTCTACTAGCTCAGCTTTTAATTCTTTTCCTCTTTTATCAATTAACAAAAAAATTATTTGCTCCCCCTCCCACTTCTTCCCCAGGTTGGGGAGAAAACCCCCTAAGAAAAACAAAACCTTATAACAAATATAGTCAAGCAAAACAAATTCATCTGGCCTTGACTAAAAAATATGTCTCATTTTGTATCCTGAGTCATCTCTCTGCTAGGAAGCTGTTAACATTCTTCATCATTGGTCCCCTGGAATCATGGTTGGTCTATATTGATCAAAGTTCTAAAGTCTTTCAAAGCTGTCTGTTTTCCAATGTTGTTGTTACATAAATTGTTTTCTGGTTCTGCTCACTTCAAATGTAACAGTTTATATATGTCTTCTTAGGTTTTTCTGAAGCCATACTCCCCCCACCCTCCACCAGCACAATAGTATTCTATTATATTCATATATCATAATTTCAGCCATTCCTTAACAGACAGGTATTTCCTTAGTTTCTACTTCTGTGCCACTACAAAAAGAGCTGCTATAAGTATTTTTGTCCCTATAGGTAATTTTTCTCTTTCTTTGATTTCCTTGGGGAACAGGCCTAGTAGCGGCATCAGGGAGTTCAAAGGGCATTCACATTTGGTCACTTTTTGTGCACAGTTCCAAAATGATTTCCAAAATAGCTCTCCTAATTCATAGCTCCTCCAACAGTGCACAAATGTGCTTATTTTCCCACAGCTCTTCCAACATTTGCCATTTTCCTTTTTTGTCATCAGATTTTTGCTCTTCATGATTCCAAAACAGCTGAGGTTCTGAACTTGCCAGGTTGTAGAATAAAAAACCTGGCCTCTGTTAGCATCACAATTAAGGTTAGTTTGGAGGTGGGCAAGAAGGAAAGTAATTAGAGAAAGACTCACTTGACAGAGAGGGAGAAGTCCCCTGGTGCACTCTCACTCTCCCGGATAAGAAAGGCACCATCATGTCGCTGTTTGCCAAGCATTTCTTCTGCCTTTGCTCTGGGGATTTTGCCAAAAAACCACCTACAGAACAAAGTAACCCAGTCAAAGTCTGCTCCCCCACATGAAAAAAAAAGTAAGACATTTAGGCTCTTAAAGTGTTAGCAAAAAGATGACTCTCCTTTCTAGACTAGGGGCAAAGGAAGCAAACATCCACCCTTCAGTATCAATATGCTCAACAACTAGGTTTACTCACTACTATTGAGGGTTCTGTAAGTGAAATCCCCTTAGATAATGAAACCTTGAGCTCTTCCCCACCCCCTCCCCAAGCTATGAAAGTGACTCATTACAGAGCAGTCCATTACAGTGTTAAATTGTTTCTATATGGGTAGACACTTAAAAATCTGCCAGATAGGTCAAATACCTTGGGGAAGCCCCCAATTACATAAACTTGAAATATCTACAGAATGAATCAAATAAGGGAAAAGAGGCCTACTTTATGTAGTTATTTGCTATTCATATTACCTTACTACCAAGAAAAATAGAATGAGGTGGGGGTGAGAGTGGGTGGCCAGAAGTAAAACTTTTCTACCATGGAAACAGCCCCAATGGCAAAAGCTCCAGTCTTTTAGCAACAGGCATGCTAAAATGTAATGCCAAAATGTAATGCCATTCTTGCCAGAAGAATGAAGAATAGCCTTACTAAGCCAGTAGTAGAAACAAGAGAATCTACCCGAGTAATTACTTAGCTGACAGTTTGTGTTTTTCCTTTAGGAAAAACCTATACCCCCTTCTTTTATCATAATACACTACCGAGCCTGAGTATAGGAGGAAGCGAAGCTGTCTTCTTATATAGCCCAGCTACTCTAGGCAAAACACAAAGCTGGATTAATCATTAAGTAGACCCATCAATTAACTGCTAGGAAGTTGTGTTTTTTTTGGGGGGGGATGGGAAGAGGGGGGTTAGAGGTGAGGGACTTGACTTCCCCATCCCCCCCCAAATAAACCACTTAAAAACCTAACATTTTCAGACACCGTGCCATGTAGTTAGAAAGAGTGCTGGGCCTGGAGTCAGATAATCTAGATTTTATTCCTGGCTCTACCACTTAACTTCTCTGTGGCTCAGTTCCTTCATGTATAAAATGAAGGCATTTGAGTTGATAATCTTTAAGGTCAGTTACAACTCTACATCTATGATCATATCACCAGCTAACTCTGGTCTCTTGCACTCAATACCAAATTATGACATTCTCCTACTTGTGTTGTCTTTCCTTATTACAATGTAAGCTCCTTGAGCGAAAGAACTATCTTGCTTACTTGTATTTGTATACTCAAGCTTAGCACAGTGCATGATACTTAATAAATGTTCTAGCTACCTTTCTATATCTATCTACCTACACAAATTCTTTGTTGGATCTGCTTGTTTCATAATGCATAACCATAATTAAATTATAAATTTAAGAAATGTTACACATTCCAGAAAATCCACATCAACCAACAATGCTATGTTAACAGCTAGAGTACTTCTTAATTTTATAGGAAGATATCTCTTTTTCAAAATAAAATAACAGACTACTTAACTTGCAGGAGAAATCTACTTCTGCAGAGAGAACATGGACAAATCTTCATCAGTAAAAGCATATTTCTGGGTTTTGTACTACTACACAAGGTTAGCTCCCTTCTATATCTATATACAACTCAAGTATAAGTCCTATACTGAAAACTGGGGGGGGTGGGGGGTTAGGGTAGGTGGGGGAGGTTGTCCTTGGTTCTCAAAGAGGACCATGACATTAGGGAGATGATGGCATGACCTGCAATTGAATTGGATTTGAATGAGGGGAGGGCTGTGCAAAGTCACCAGCCTCACTTTCTTCTCCAGAGCCATCAGGGTACAGTGGCCAGATACAGATCAGGATGCCTGGAGGTGGCCCAGTAGCGGTTAGGTGGCTCAGTAGATACAGTGCTGGCCCTGGAATAAGAAAACTCATCCTTCTGAGTTCAAATCTGGCCTCAGACACTTACTAGCTGTGTGACCCTGGGCAAGTTACTTAACCCTGTTTGCCTCAGTTCCTCAATGAAAACCTACCATATAAAGGAAATAACATTTCAAAGGAACTGGATTCAAAATATGGAAGTTAGCTCAGAAAATGTGATTTCTATCACAGAAACCTCTCCCCTTTTCCCTTTACCCACCCCAATCTTTTTTTTTTCCTTCCTGTTCCCTTCTTCATAATGATTTTAACTACCCAGGAGGCCACAGCAGACCTACCTTGGAAAACTACTTCAAACTCCCTAACCACTCAGTTCTTCTACCTACTTGTTTCCCATTATCTACTCTTCCACACCACCCCCATATACAAAAATGGTCATACCACTGATCTTGCCATCATCCACAAATGAACCACCTCCACAAGTTCCTGAAATCCCTCTATCTGACCATAACCTATTGGTTTTTCACCTCTCAATCTTTCCTTAAATTCACACCATGACCTCCAATCCCTTGATCCCTTATTACTTTCTAAGGCCATCCCCCCTGCACTAGCCACTCTTTCCTCTTTTCTCCATTTTGACCCGTTGGTGAAGCTAATTAAATTCCAGACTATGCTCATCTCTTGAATCACTAGCCCCTTTATCATTCCGATTATTACACCCTGTGAAGCCTTAGCATTGGATCACTTCCACTATTTGCCATCTTCTCTCCTACACACATGCCGCTGAATGAAGGTGGAGAAAATCATGCAACATTTCTGACCGGATCCATTACAAATTTGTCACATAACCTCAGCTGGGCCCTAATTGCTGCTAGGCAATCCTATGACCCCTGTCTTGTCAATTCACTCTTCCACTCTACACAGTGACTCTTCCAAACCTTTTCAGTGCCTGCTCAAGTCTCCTATGGCTTCCTCCCCCTCAACCTCTCAACTGAGATCTTCACCTCACATTTTACAGAAAACATTAAGGCTATTTGCTGTGAGCTCCCTTTTCTCCCCTCTTTCTCTTCTCCTATCACTCAGGTGCCTTTTGCCATTATCTTCTCCTCCACTCCTGTTTCACATGAAGAATTTACCTTACTTCTTATCAAGGGTAAGCTCTCTACCTGTTCAAGGAATCCCATTCCATCACATCTCCTCCAAAAGACTGTCATCCCCACTCTATTACTTATTTTCAATTTCTCCCTCTCTACTGGCTCATTCTCTACTATATACAAACAAGCCCATGTCTCTCCTATTCAGAAAAAACCCTCACTTGATCCTTCCAGCCCCAATATCATCCTACATCTCTTCTCCCTTTGTAGCTAAAATCCTAGAAAAAGGTCATCTACGATAGGTGCCACCACTTTCTCTCTTCTAACTCTCTTCTTAGCCCTCCCTTACAATTTGGCTTCCAGCCTTAACATTCCACCAAAACCGCTCTCTTCAAAATTACCAAAGACTTCTTAGTTGCCAAATCCAATGGCCAAATGCCAATCTCTATCCTCATTATCCTTGAGCTCTTTGACGCCTCTGATATTTTTGATTATCCTCTCCCCTTGATATTTTTTTCTCTCTTGGTTTTCCTCCCAAACATGTGACTGCTCTCACTCAGTCCCTTTTGCTGGATCCTTATTCAGAGCATACCCTCTAATCCTAGATGTCTCTCAGGGTTTGTCCTGGGACCTCTTCTCTTCTCCCTATATGTGACTTTACTTGGTTATCTCACTAAGTTCCATGGATTTAATTACCATCTTTATGCTGATGACTCTCAAATCTACCTATCCTTCCCCAAACTCTCTGCTGACCTCCAATCTCAAATCCCCAACTGCCTTTCAGGTATCTTGAACTGGATATCCAGCAGACATCTTAAGCTAAAGATGTCCAAAACAGAACTTATTGTTTTTCCCCCTAAAATGTCTTCCCCTTTTAACCTTCCCTATGGCGGAGGGAAACACCACCCTTCTAGTCTCTCAGGCTCACAATCTGGGAGTCATCCTGTATTCCTCACTACCTCTCACCTCCCATAGGCAATCTGTTGCCAAGGCCTGTCAATTTCACCTTTGCAACTTCTCTCAAATATGCCTCCTTGTCTCCTTTGACACCGACACCACTCTATAGCAAGCCCTCCTCACCTCACACCGGGACTACTGAAATAACCTGATGGTGGGTCTGCCTGCCTTAAATCTCTCCCCTACTCCAATTCATCTTCAATTCAATTAACAAAGTGACTTTTCTAAAGCTGAGGTCCAATAATATCTCCAGGATCCAATACAAAATGCTTTGCTTAGCATTCAAAACTCTTCATGACAATAGCCACTCCTACCTTTCCAGTCTTCATATACCTTACTCCCCACATGTACTCTTTGAGCCAGTGACACTGGCATCCTGGCTATTCCATAAACAAGACTCTCCATCTCTTAAGAGGCTTTGGGTATTTTCTCTGGCTGTCCCCCATGCCTGGAATGCATTTCCTCCTCCACTCTGACTACCGACCCTCCTGACTTCCTTTAAGTCCCAACTAAAATCTCATCTTTTACAGGATGCCTTTCTCAATCCCTCTTAATTCTAGTGTCTTCCCTTTTAATTATTTCCTATTTTTCCTGTATATAGCTTGCTTTGTATATATTTGTTTTGCTTGTTGTCTCCCCCATTAGATCGTAAGCTCCTTGAAGGCAAAGACTGTCTTTTGCCCCTTTTTGTATTCTTGTCACTTGGCACATACCTGGCACACAAGTGCTTAATAAATGTTTACTAATCAACTGATAACAATTTAGTTTTGATTGCAGCTATACCAGAGAATACTTTACTTCCCTACGTTTCCAGTTAAGGATGACAAAAGATGATGGCCAAGAGGCATGAATGCAATTTTTTTCTGGCTACAATTACACATTTCCATGAACAAATTCTAAAGGGGACAGGAACTGTACCTGTGATTTCACTGTTACTGGGATCTCCTAAGTAAGTAGACTCCCTCTACCAATGCAGATGAGACCTTCTCTATAACTTTACAGTTTCAAAGAGTTACTACTGAGAGCACTGAGAGGTTAAATTACTTGCCTATGACTCACACAGCCAGTATGTATCAGGCTTGAACTTGGGTCTCCCTGGCTCTTAGGGTAGCTGTCAATCCACTTTTGTTGTTGAGTTATTTTTCAGTCATGTCCGACTCTTTGTGAGCCCATTTGGGGTTTTCTTGGCAACTGGAGTGGTCTGCCATTTCCTTCTCCAGCTCATTTTACAAATGAGGGGCTGAGGCAAATAGGGTTAAAGTGACATACCCAGAGTCACACAGCTAGTTAAGTGTCTTGAGGCTGTATTTGAACTTCCAAAGAAGAGTCTTCCTGACTCCAGGCCTGATACTCTATTCACTGCACCACCTAGTTACCCTTTAGTACCTGACTGACCTTGAGCAAGTCATTTAACCTCTCTGGGCCTCATTTTTTTATCTGTGAAATGGAGTTGGATGAGTTGGTCATTAAGATCCCTGTAAGCTCTGAGGTTCAGAGTGGTGCTCCCAAGAAGCATGGGTATGATCTCTCCTCCCTGACTATTTCCTCCCTGAGACTGCTTGACTGACTTGTCATTGATCTTCTTGCCCACTAGTAGAGGTGTACCCAAGGCTCTGTCTTCGACTCTCTTTTTATCATCTATGTAAGAGTTCAATTAGCTTCTCTAAGTAGATTACTCCTAAATCTATCCCCTAAATTACACTTTATAATTACTAACTGACTGATAAAATCTCCACCTGGATGTCCCATAGGCATCTCAAAATCAACATGTCAAAACCAAAATTACTTTCCAAGTACCCTAAAATAATATATTCCTCTTTTGAACTCACTCCTTGAAACTTTCCTCTTTCTGTTGACAGTCTATATCCCTTCTAGTCACCCAGGAACAAACCTTGGAGTCATCTTTGACTCCTCCTCTCCTTACTCCCTACACCCAATTAGTTGCTAAATTTTGTCAATTCTATCTCCCTAACACATTTAGTATCTATCCCCTTCTTTTCAATCACATAGCAACTACAATCATTCAGACCTGTCTCTTCCTTGGCCTCTCTACTTACAGTCTCTCCCTTTCTAGTCTATCCTTTACAACATGGGTGAAAAACCACCTTCTCTGGGCACAGGGCTGTCCAGGCAAAATATGCCTGCCTTGCCCAAAAATCTTCAGTGGATTCCTAACACTTCTAGGCTAAAATACAAACTCCTTAGCTTGGCATTTAAAGGACTTCACAATCTCCTTCCAACCTACCCTTTCTAGTCTTATTTCACTTTAATCTTTTTCACAAATTCTGTGTTGTAACCAAACTACACTAGTAGCTGCTCCATGAACTACACTGCATTTCCTACTTCCAGGCATCTGTAACTCCCTTCTCAATTCCACTTTCACAGTACTCAATCTGCTTCCTGGGATCCCTTTCTTCCCAAAGTGATCGGCAAGTACGTCACTTCACCTCTCTAGGCCTTAGTTTCCTCATCTGCAAAATGAGAGAGCTGGCTTCTATTTTGTGACTGTGTTCTCAAATACTCTAAGAGGGCTTGGTATGGACATCTCTCTTGCTTCCCATCATTCATTTTCTAACTTACATTATACTTTTCCATGTGCATTTGGTACCCTCCACCCCCTAGAATGTGTATTCCCTAAAGAAAGGGACTGTTGCCTGCCTAGCAAAATAACCTGGGCATAAAAGGCACTTAATTCAGTTGCTGAATTAAATTAACTGTTTAACTTGTAACTCTAAAAGCCTTGCCATCAAATCCCCCTTCCTTTCTAAAAGAAAGTGGAAAGAAAACCCAGCACATAACATTCTATCACAGTTCAGAAATTAGCAATGATCCAGTGTTTATAAAACTCTTTAGTCACAGAAACTATCCTGTAATGTGAAACACACATGAAATGCCATACTACTGAAGTACAAGAACTTTTTTTTAAAAGAACATCATAAACTGAGGCACTTTCAAAGTTACTTTATTTTGGGTGGTAGGCTAAGCAATTCACAGTTATTATCTCATGTTATCCTCACCACTCTGGGAAGGAAGTGCTGCTATTATCCCCATTTTACAGATGAGGAAACTGAGGCAGACAGAAGTTAATTGACTTGCCCTGGTTGTCACAAAGCTAGTTATGTGTCTGAGGCCAGATATGAACTCAAATCTTCATTACCTGAGACCTAGTGCTCTCTCTATCCACTGCTTTACCAGCTGGCCTTAATTTTAACTCTTCAGAGCTCAAAAGCAGCTGAACATTGTGGGTTCACACTTCCCAGTTACCTCGTCAGATGAGACAGACATATGATGCATACTAGACGCCTTATAGTTAAAAACTTGAATTTGCCTCCATATTTCTTAGAAATGCAACATTTTAAAAAATGATTAGAATTAAATGATTCTCCCCAAACTTACAGGAGAATTCTATGATGAATTGCAACTTCTGAAATGATATGGCCTTTCTTGTCTTCTCTAAATGTTATGAATTTAAACATCTATCAAATTTGAAATAATCTCAAGTACAATCAGACCCTACAGCCATGCACACTTCAGTTGATGTAATGTTTTCTAGTGTAATAACCTACCACATCTTCTTTTACCTGTTCCTTTTTTCTAAAAGTTCTAAAGCCACAATGACAAAGAATTTTTGATCAAACAATAAACTAAACTTGTGTTTTCTTTTGAGGATGGTATGACAGGAAGAAGGTTGTATGTATCACCTATTTAGTATATATCTGACCAACCCTGGAGGCAGATTCATTACTTGACCCAATCCTTCTACCACCATCCCCAAATGCCCAGTGCAAACATTTATTCAACTGGTTCTACTGTCTCTGGGAAGTCTCCAAATGACCCAATTCCTCCAAAAAGTTGTAGGTCAATTTTGGAAGGCTCATTTTCAACTTCACTGACTGTTCCTTTTGTTCCCTCCCCTCCCCCCAAACCAAAATAAATACTTTTTCACTTAACAGATAAATAGTTGCAAAACATTTTATCTCTGCTACCAGCTTCCTGCTCCTCTTCTTGAGAGCATCTGTTATCACCACTTGAATCTTTTAGTAACCCAAGAAGAAGAGTTCTCAAAGTGAAAGGGATTATTAGTCTGGTTAAGTGACAAGAACCCAGGAGGCGGTTGAAATTTTTTTAAAGTCAAATGTGGAAGAAATTCTTTCAATTTATGTAAATACTTAACTATTTGGTACAAACTTTAACTCAGAAACTCTGAATCTTCCATAATCCTAGTTTCTTAAATATCTGAGTACCTACTATATGTGAGGAACCACTCTTGTGAAAGTAAGGCAATCTGACACTAGAAATTAGTGGGACTTAACTTACGGATGTGGTTTCATTTCTATATAGTTCTTGGGAATGAAGCCATCTTTTCCATTGAGTTCTGCCTTATACCAATTTTGATCACATTCTTCATTCAACACCTGAAAAAGAATGAGACATACCACCAGATCAGTCATATGTTCCCCTTTTGAAACTGGTAGCTTCAGAGACAACATGGATATTTGGCTTCCTTCACAGAAAGTGCTAGCTGTTGAGTCAGCAGTCACTCTACAGTTAACCAGAAAATCAGAGTTCCAACCTGGACTTTTGAAGTATAAAACCAACAAGTCAAGTATGGCAGTGCAGCAACAGTTTCTGAGCAGACAGCAATAACAAGTTTATACCTAACACACTGTGATTACTTCACTGACACTCCCCTATTCTCCCCCTCAAAAGGAGCTCTGGTTGTCAAGATATATCCTAAAAATGACGCTGTATTTTGGTGTGTATGTGGCTTTTTTGTCACTGACCTCCTTGGGGAATAAGCTAGCAATGAAATCTCTGGGTCAAGGGATATGAACATTTTAGCATTTTACTACTTTCTTAGCATAATTCTCAACTGCTTCACAGAATGACTCGACTAATTGTTATCTTTTCATAACCCCTACGATATTGCTTCTTATAATCTTTTGTAATCCTCTTTTATAATGGCTTCTATTCTTTTTTTGAGCATTTACCCATTTCCCATAGTTGTGAAAGGCATATGATCTGATTCTATTCTGATTTTTAAAATGATATACTTAATTTTCAGGTCATGTATCCATTTTGAATTTATTGTGGTATATGGCTTAAGACATGTTGGTCTAAACCTAATTTCTGTCAGACTGCTTTCCAGTTTTCCCAGGAATTCTTGTGAAATAGGGAATAATTTATAATTTATATTTGTATTTCCTACTAATTTATATTTCCAGGTTTAAGGCACACTGGGTTGTTGGTATCAATTTTTGTTTGTTGATTTTGTTTCTGTTTTTTTTTTTGGCTAGGCAATGGGGTTAAGTGACTTGCCCAGGGTCACACAGCTAGTAAGTATCAAGAGTCTGAGGCCGAATTTGAATTCAGGTCCTCCTGACTCCAGGGCAGGTGCTCTATCCACCTAGCTGCCCCTTGGTATCAATTTCTGATTCTTCCTTGCCCACTAATCTGTGTTACTGCTTTACAATATAGTTTGAAGTCTGGAAGTGCTTATCTATTCCCCTTTATTCCTCCCTTTTTTTCCACTGTTTTCCTTGAATTTTAGATCTTTTGTTTATCTAAATGAATTATTATCTTTCTATAAAGTAGCTTATTAGCAATCTGAATAGTATCTAAATCTGTAAAGCGATAAAAGTATCCCAGACCACATAATATCAACAGCTACAAAAAAGCTTTTGAGGGGCAGCTAGGTGGCACAGTGGATAGAGTACCGGCCCTGAAGTCAGAAGAGCCTGAGTTCAAATCCAGCCTCAGACCAAACACTTGACACTTTGTGACCCTGGGCAAGTCACTTAACCCCAACTGCTTAATAATTTAAAAAAAAAGGTTTTGACTAAGTACAATACACATTTATGCTAAAAAAAATACAAAGCACAGGCACAGAAGAATGTTTTTTAATATGACAAAAGTAACTGAAGCTCAAAAGTTAGCATTATATATAATACTGAAACTCTATAAGGTTCTTAATACAGGAGTAAAACAAAGATAGATTATCAAGAAACTTAGAGAATTAATAAGACCCCATGTAAAGATCAGAAATTTAAGAAAGTTGCTGAAAAAGGGAATGCAGAAAAAAAATTGAACAGTAAAATGTAGTTCATCTACATCAAAAGCTCATATTTATATAGTACCTTTTACTTTACAAAGTACCGTTAACAACTCCGAGGAAAACAGGACCAGAAACTCAGAACATAGGGATGCTTGTAGCTTCCAGCACACTTTTACCCCGTATCATGGAAACAGCAACATTTGACCCTGGTGGGAGAATTTTTGCACAGACCAACAATCTACCTGGCAGAGCCAGGAGGAGGGGCAGGGAAAGTTAAAAGAGAAGCATCTTGTTCTGAAGACTTTTCCTCACCCCCACCCCAACCACTAGAGCAGTGTTATATAAAGGTTAGCAATGATGATGACCACCATGACGATGATGACAACTATGGTGCCAAGAGAAAGTAGGAGCTAAGGGGGCAGTCAAGTACAATTCAGAAACTACCAGAAATTGTTTGGGTAGGCTGGTGAGACAAAAGCAGAATAAAATGAGCTTGTAACATTACTCCCCCTCCCCTTTTCCCTTTCTGATTTCAGGTGAAAGGGCAGCCAGCCTGTTATCCTTACCCTTTAACTGCCCAAATCTCTACCTTTTTGTCACTCCATCCCTTTCCAGAGAGGGAAAAAGAAAAAGGAGAGAAGTCTCTTCTGTCTCATTATGGCTACACTAATCTAGAAGAAATGTACTACCCACTGTCCTTTTCATTGCTATCAATTTATTCCCTTTGATACAAATAAAAGTGTGGTGGCCACAGAATCCTTATTGGAGTGATTTAATGACAATACCTGAAGATAAAGTTTTGCCTTTAAAGAGATGGGAAGCATTACGTTTTTCAGTTGAAAAATGTGGTGGAGAGGAAGGCCCCCTGATTTCCACGGGAGAAAACAAAAGAGCATTATGACTACCCCAAGACACACAAATAAAAGCCCTAAGGCAATTACAAGCTACACAGAGAAAAGTCTTCCTTGGAGTGCGGGCTACAGGTGTTGTCACTGAAAAAATTTATCAACAACTTCAGGTGCTGGGGCTTTTTGCTGCCATCTTAATCTGCAGCACCAGCATGGTGACTGTTAAAAGCACCAAGGCAGCTTGGCTGAAGTTTACTGTGGCTGGTGATTAATAGCTCCCTCCAGCACTTACAGTTAAACTCTATACCTCATTTGCAAAGGCTCTACATACTCATGCTGCCTTACCCTAACTTTCAACGTGTGGGAGCTAAATTTCCCACATGAGGACCTCATGCCCACATCCTACTAAAACATCATTGAAACCTTTTTGTTTTTACATCATAATAATTTCTGAACATACCCTCCTATGGAATGAAGAAAAATAGTTTTTAAAAATCACAAATGCATAACAACGTATGCAACATTCTGCCTTCCTGGGACTGTTTTTTTCCCCCAAGTTACTTAAGAAAGCAACATTTTTTGGCACTGAACAAGTCAAGAAGTCATTTCACATCTTTGTTACATAATAAAGAGGGTGGTACAGTGGGTAAAGCATTGGGCCTGAAGTGAGGAAAATTAAGTTTAAATCTAGATATTAGTTGTGTGATTCTGGGCAAGTCATTTAACCTCTGGAAATAATAATAGCCCCTACCTTACAGGGTAGTTGTGAGGCTCAAATGAGATAACCAACCAACCTACCTTCCTTTCTTCCTTTTGCTAGGCAATGGGGTTAAGTGACTTGCCCAAGGTCACACAGCTAGTTAAGTGTTAAGTGTTTAAGGCCGCATTTGAACTCAGGTCCTCCTGACTCCAGGGCCGGTGCTCTATCCAGATAATGCTTTTAAAGTACACATAGGTGCTCCTTCCTTTTTTTTTTTCTTTTTAGTCTGGAGCTGTGATTTCATGTGTATAGGGAATACCCAGAAAGTTCTAGTCATGTTCAGCAACATACAGTCTTAAAAAATTGCCTTTAACAACTAAGAAATTCAGTGACTTGACCAGAGTCACACAACCCAGGATGTATCAGAGGCAACACATAAGACAAGGTCTTTCTTCCTCTGAAGCTACCTCTCTACCCACCTCTCAAGAAACACAATTACTAAACAAAACAGATTAATTTAAATGTAAAGAATAAGACACTGAGAGAGAGAAAACACAAATTTAAACAATGGGTGGGTGACTTGGATCTATAAAACAATTCAAGTACTATGGTTTTATTTAAATTTCAAATGGGAATAACAAAAAATATGATTAGAGCTGTAAGGGTAAAAAAGCTTTTTGGACCACAATCTTCTAGTTACAGCAACTTATGAATTACCCACTTATTTACCATGGTTTTATGGATGGATGGTCTAGATTAGCAAACAAATTTTCACTCATTTTTACAAACAGTAAGAAATATTTTAAGTTAATATACTAGAGTTGTATTTTCTTTTCTTTTCTTTTTTGTTTTTTTGATGAGGCAATCGGGGTTAAATGACTTGCCCAGCATCACACAGCTAGTGTCAAGTGTCTGAGGTTGGATTTGAACTTAGGTCCTCCTGACTCCAAGGCCAGAGCTCTATCCAGTGCACCACCTAGCTGCCCCTAGAATTGTATTTTCTACTCCATCACCAAGTTTTCCTAGAGATACTTAGTACTGGTTAATACACAATACCTTAATCATAAAAATCTGTATGATCAAGACATGAGGCTAAAAAACTCTAGCCATTTGGCATGTAATGATTAAAGCAGTCAGCACTGGATCATAATCAAGAAGACTTATATCTGCAGAGAAGGAAAAATATTAAAATTACAGAAGCATCAAATCTACCTTACTACAAAAATAGACTAATATTATGACAACTTCACATGAGAAGAGAAACCCTCCAGGTCCTTAACAATCTTTTCATACTATTGAAAAGATGTCAGGGAAGAAAGAAAAACATTCAATGACACAGATGTACTTTATGAATTTTAACCATTAACTATTTCCTGTCACTATGCAAAGAGGAAATCCTTTTCTAGAAACAAAATTTGCATTATTGACAACAAAGAACATTAAACATTTTGTACTTTTCAATATCTGATCATGACAATATCCTATGTTCCCTAAAATCCAAAAAGCTTCTCTCCTCTATACAAAAGTCGGTATCTCAGCTCACACTGAGATACATTTCTTGAGGATAGTCTAAAAATTTTGAAATTATAGACCTAGAATTCTGATCTTTAAGGTCATTATTGCACCAGTCTCCTGTACAACTGTTCCTTTCCTTTGTATAAGGTATATATACATTAGCAAGTTATTAGAGCTTCAGCCACTAATAGATCCTGGCAGGCAAGGGGGCGAGGAGAGGGCTGAAATTTTTACAATGGTTGCATTCAACTAAACTTTGATGCGTGGGCTAAATGTCAAGAATATATTTAGATAAAG